TCTGTTTCCATATTCTAAAAATATGAAATAATTGGGACTAAGTATAGTAAAGAATGTTTATGAATAAAACATTTCTAAAGGCAATTAATTTTTTTGGGACAGGGTCTTATTATGTAGCCCTGGCTGGCCTCAAAACCACAGAGATCTGCCTGCCTCTGCCTCCCGAGTGCTGGAATTAAAGGATGTACCATCACACCTAGCTCTGAAAGATAATTGAAGAAGGCTTAAATAAATGGAACACTTAGGAAGATAGTGTCTGGGCAGTGAACTAAAGAGGCCCTAGTGTAAAAAAAGCTTTAGAGTTGACCTCAGCCAGCTTAAAAACAAGGCTCAAAAAGTCCAAAGGGACCATAAGGTAACTCCAGGGTCTATCTGAGTGAGATAAATACAGTAAAAAGCCAGCACCCCTATTTGAACGGTTAAGAGAGAAAGGCCTGCCAATGCCAAGTGTTGACAAAGATATGGAACACTAGAATTCTTGGATACTATTAATGAAAATGGCAAGTGTTCAAATGCCTTGGATAATAACTTCTTAGATTCTTCAAACATCCGCCTACCATGTAATCCAGCCATTCTACACTTAATATAGTATTTACTCAGAAGAAGTGAACTTACATAAAGATTTGTATGTGGATATTTCTGGAAGATTTCTTTATAACAGCCACACACTGGAAATAATGCAACTATAAGTGTGTTTGAGAACAAATGGAAACTTGTTTTTAATATTACGATATGTAGGTTAAAAGTAAAAGGACAGTAAAAGATACATTGTGGAAACATCAGGCATTGTAAAGCTGGGGTAGGAAGAACTAGAGAAGGCTGGTGTAGAATGTACCCTGCCCTGGACAGGCTTTCAGACACTGCTGTGGGCAGTTCAAGAAGGTGCTGACATGTTTGTTTGTGTGTTTGTTTCTCAAAACACAGTTTCTCTGTGTAACAACTCTGGCTATCCTGGAACTTGCTTTGTAGACCAGGCTAGCCTCTAGCTTACAGAGATACACCTGCCTTTGCCTCCTGAGTGATGGGATTAAAAGCGAAGCGGACATTTCTGTTGTTTATGCTACAACAGAAGGAGGTGACCACAAGCAGTTGGTATTGTTTTAAACACTATTTTCCTCGGTGCGTGCCTATAATCCCAGCGCTTGGAAAGGTGATGCGGGAGGGTAGTGATTTGAAGGCCAGCCTGGATTGGACAGCAAGAGCCTGTCTCAAAACAAAACTAGAAATATATGTATATTTCACAGTTAGACACGACCTTTTGGCATCCATCCTTGCCTTACACGGGTCTTGCAAACGGTCAGTGCAGACGTAGCTACAAAGACTGTCGTAACAAATATTGTCACAGTATCCCCCTACTGAAGTTACTTCAGGGGCTTCTGCTGATCTACAGGAGGGGTTAGTGATACAAATAAGGGTTTAGAGGGTGGAGCAATGTCATCTTCAAGGAGCAGAAACAGATTCCCAGTGTTGTTCTACAAGAGGAACTAACTTAACCTGCAGAAACTTACGTCATAAAGGGTTTTACTTCTTTAAATGGCCAGAGTCAAGTTGTACCTATTCTGTAGGTTAGAATGTTTGGTTGACTCGTGTAGTACATACCAAACAAAAACAAACAAACAAAAAACAGACTTTTTATGATGAAGCAACCATCGCTAACTGAACCAATGTCCTTGCATATGGGGACATAATAGAGGTCCTCTGTGATGGGTTCCGAAGGTCAGCAGCACGTGTACAAGGCAGAGTTGGGAGCACGATTGTTTTATGGAGTTCTCAATAACTGTTTAGAAGCTATGATGAAACAGAATGCTGTAACTCAGTCGTTTGTGCTGGGTGGTGAGATGCTGGTAGGCTGTCACCAAAATTTACTTTTCAGAACTCAGAGTTGTAAAACAAACTGTCTGAAACCAATTGAATCTATATTTTCACTCGAGACACAGGGAAAAAAGTGCAAGCTCATCAATTAGAGGATCTTCGTTGTTACTGTGTAAATCAATCTTGTTCCGGGGAAAAGTCAACCCCAAACCCAAACTTCTTTTCAAGGACTTACCAGTCCTAGGATAAGAAATCTAAGCTGCATCTTTCTGCTCCCAGATGTCATGGTGAAAAAGGAAAAGAAAGAGGAGAATTTTCCACAAGAGAAGAGTTCTCATACTGACCAGATTGATGTGACTGGATTTTCTGGACCGGTGTGATGTGTGGGCCATTCCTTCACAATAATCAAGGCTCCAAGCCTTCCTCCCTACAGTAAAGGCACTCACCAACTTCACTGTTCAGTAACCTCTTAACACAAAAGGTAAGACATTACGGCTGGGTCACTATTCAAAATCAACCAATATAATATGATAAAGGCTAAAGAAGAAAAATCATATGATCACAAAAAATTAAGTAGAAAAAGCATTTCAAAAATTCAACAACCATTCATACAAAAAATTATCACACAAAAATCGGAACAGGCCGGGCGGTGGTGGCGCACGCCTTTAATCCCAGCACTCGGGAGGCAGAGCCAGGCGGATCTCTGTGAGTTCGAGGCCAGCCTGGTCTACAAAGTGAGTTCCAGGAAAGGCGCAAAGCTACACAGAGAAACCCTGTCTCGAAAAAAAAAAAAAAAAAAAAAAATCGGAACAGGACAGAATGTCCTCAACTTAATAACTTATATAAGTATCTATACCCTCTGGTGAAACTAAAACTCCACCCCTACTCCCTGAAAATTCCCCGCTCTCCAGCGCTTGTGCTCTCCTACCCGGCAGCCATCTTAGACTCCTATGTCGCAGAACTTGGCAGTTTCCATGTCTGGATCACAAGGCACCTACCCCTAAAAAGGATTGAGCTGACCCACTTCTAGCAGGTACCACAGCTCATGTTATATGCCAGTCATTGACAGGTCTCACCTGTCACCTCTCATTGTCACAATGTTCTAAAGCTGATTGTTAATTGTGTCTATTCCAGGAATCGAGGAACAGACTCAGGGAGGTGCAGTGACCCGCTCAGTCAACACAGCTCATTTCCCAGGGCCTGGTCAGCTCCCACAGTTCACTGTGTGCCACCAACCATCGCTGTGTCCAGGTTCTTTGTGACCCTGACTTTAAGCATCTTTTTTGTCTAGAAGCAGAAGAAGAACAACTTGTTGGTGATAGCTCTTCAGAAACCCCAATTCTAGAACTCTTTCTGGGCTTTGATGTTCTGAAAACCTGACTCCCCTTGACTGGTATAATAGGAAAATGGGCAGGGACTCTTGTCTTCCAGGTTAGCATGTCCGGACATAGCCCCACAGGACAGAGAAGGTCCCTGGACACAAGCCAAGATTTGTGGACAGTAGAAACCTCTGCCAGGTGTGCCCCAAGTTTCATCTCTTTCCTCTGCAGGACTAAGGCACAGTTGTGTCAAGCCATTTTCAGTCCAGTAGAGCTTGGTTCGCACATCATCCTTTTTTTTTTTTTTTTTTTTTTGGTTTTTCGAGACAGGGTTTCTCTGTGTAGCTTTACGCCTTTCCTGGGACTCACTTGGTAGCCCAGGCTGGCCTCGAACTCACAGAGATTCGCCTGGCTCTGCCTCCCAAGTGCTGGGATTAAAGGCGTGCACCACCACCACCCACCCGGCTTCGCACATCGTTCTTAAGAGACAATTTGAAGTTGTTTTTCAAGAATTAATGCACTGAAAATGGAAAACCAAACACATCTCCCTTTCAAAGTTAAAACCGCATATCCACTGAGGCAACTCATTAAACTTATTTAAGACCTCTGAAACTTTGTGGGGAAAAGTGTGGTACTTCCGGCATAGTTCCCGCCCCCACCATCTAAGAACATTTTCTCTAGTAATGGGCAAAGTGCACCAAGTTGTGTTGCAAGTGATCCTCCAATGGGTTGATGGAGGAAGTTATCATCCAGTGTTCACAACATTGGCAGGGTTTCAGGAGTGTGACCTCAGAGCACCGTGAGAGAAGATTCTTGAGGAGTGGAGACAACGCCCCCTGTCAGAGACATTGTCGCAAACGAGCATAAGAAGAACATATGGACAGTTATGTGGCTCACAAATCCCAGCAGAGGAATTCCAGAAGTGCCAGGCTCCGAAGCTCGGCAGAATGTGCCAGATGCCACAGATTGCCAGCAAAAAAGGAGAGGAGGGCCCTGGTAGCAGTGGGGCAGATAAATGAATTGCTATTCTGAAGGGTTTTTTTTTTTGTCTTGTTTTTTTTTTTTTTTTTTTTTACGAAACCTTAGTAAAACAACAACAAGCAAACAAACAGAATAGTCTTTGGGAACAAACATCCCTGCTGTCTGTTTGTGGAGCCACAGCTATCCTGGTTAGATGGAGTAAGCAGAGCAGAGCTTAGCTCCCAGCTCTCTGTGTGCAGAGAATCTTAGACCAAAGAAGGATGCTTCTAGCTTCTCCAGCTCTAAGGCCAGAAGCACTGGCAGGTTCTATCCCTTCGGTGGGGCGTGGGTTCAAACAGCTGTGTTTCTAGGGAGTTCTTAAGTATTAGCAGTTGTTGTTGGTCAAAGTACTAATCCTGAAGAAGAGAAGAATGTGTTTAGTGAGCTGGAATTTTCTGAGTAGAGAAAGGCTCTTTTTTTTTTTTTGGTTTTTTGAGACAGGGTTTCCCTGTGTAGCTTTGCGCCTTTTCCTGGATCTCGCTCTGTAGACCAGGCTGGCCTCGAACTCACAAAGATCCACCTGCCTCTGCCTCCCGAGTGCTGGGATTAAAGGCGTGCGCCACCACCGCCCAGCGAAACAAGAAAAAAAAAACGATAAACTCGGGAGGTGAAAACAACCTCAAAGCAGACAAGTTGGATGGGCAGAAGTAGGGCTGAAAAGTAACAAGAGGAGGAACCTGGATCTCAACATCTTTCCTCCTAGCAGAGTTTCAGAGGAGGGGAAAGAAGGAAGCCTTCGCCTTTGGCTCTAGGAGAGGAGAAAATGTCTTTCTTTGGGGCAGAAGATGCATCACACAGATGAACACTGCTGGGGGGGGATGCATGCGGGACTGGGCTACAAGCCCTTACCTGTGCTCACCCTGGTCGGTGTAGAAGTTCAGGAAGAGCCCCTCTGAGGTGTCCTGAAGCACTTGGCCAGAGAAGCCGAGGTTCAGCTCATATCTGCTACCTGGATGCAAGACCTGGCCCAGATCCAGCACCATGTAGTGCATGTCCAACCGGAACCACACATTGTCCACTGGCACACGGCCTACAGTGGCGTTCCTAGTGTCCAGGGCCAGGGGACCCCACACTTCCACTTGCTTGTAATTCAGAAAGAAGCTGTGCAGCAGTAATCTCGAAGTGGCCACTGTGCAGCGTACAGTGATGTTCACGCGACCCGTGAAGGTCAAACTCGGCGTGGACAGGTCATCCGGCCGTAGCCGGGGCCACAGCTCCAGATCATAGTGAAGCGGGACAAGCCAGGGCGGTAGGCGCAGATGGTCCCAGGGCCCCGACGGGGGGCGCCAGTCTTGCGAGGTGGTGGCCAACGCTGGTTCAGGTGCAGTCTCTGGTGTCCGGGTTGGTGGCCCCTGCTCCTGCCCGCCAGGAAGGGATAACGCGGTGCCCTTCACCCCGGGGCTATGCTGCTCTGAAGGCTGGACGCGCGCGCAGTTGCCATACAGGGCAGCCAGAGCCACCAGCACCATCAGGAGCGCGACCGTCAGCCCGGCCAGCAGGAGGGCCACCCCGCGGCTCACATAGATGCCAGAGCTGGAAGGGGAGCTCATGGTAGGAGTCTGGAGTGGGCGAGATGGGAGACTAGAGACCGTGGAAGCGGGTCAAACCCAGGACGGGATGCGTAGAGGTGGGACCCCTGCCCAGTCCCTCCTCTCTTGTACTGTCTCTCCTCCTCCAGGAACCTGGGGAAAAGACATCTGGGACTATGGCTTTCCCCTCCCCTAACCAGATCCAGATCCCTGCCTACCTACCCCCGCCCTACCAGAGACGAGGAGGAAGGGCGGACCCCTCACCCCAGGGCGCGCGCCCCTTTGGTCCTTGCGGGTTGGACGTCATCGCTGTTTTTTTTTTTTTTTTTTTTTTTTTTTGGATTAGGGACCGGGCTGGAGTGTGTGTGAGCTGTGACTAGCAGGTGAAGGAAAAAGTCAGGTTCTGAGTGAGGGGGTTGTAGGGGGTTTTGATGACATTCTCTAAACTGCAAAGAGCGACCACGCCATAGTAACATCTGAACCAAAGCTGATGTCCCCAAGTCGCTACTAGCTTCAGCACGCACCCGGCTCAGACAGCAAGCGTAAGCTTGGAAGTTTTTGCTGGATCGGGGGACCAAAATCAAAGCAAATCAAACAAACAAAACTAGGGAGCAGGGAGCGATAGCTAGCGTGTGGAAAGGAGCAAGAGTAGTGGACGATAGCGTCTGCTTAGGTCCGCGACTTTGGAGGAGGGTTTGGCTCTCCGCTTCCGCACAAGGGAAAAGGAACTCCTGCTCATAAAAATCCTTTCATTTCGCCGGGCGGTGGTGGCGCACGCCTTTAATCCCAGCACTCACTCGGGAGGCAGAGCCAGGCGGATCTCTGTGAGTTTGAGGCCAGCCTGGGCTACCAAGTGAGTTCCAGGAAAGGCGCAAAGCTACACAGAGAAACCCTGTCTCGAAAAACCAAAAAAAAAAAAAAAAAAAAAAAAACCGATCATTTCAAGCAAAGAAGATAAAGCGGTCTCTCCACCCAGAAACCAAGGGGCTGAGCTGTTTACTGGCAGTGCCCAGACTAGTGAGTTCTTTGGCACGCCAGGCATCTGTTCGCTATTTAGCCTGAGTGCCTCGGCGGGTTCTCCGCCTCACCGCGGTGTCCTGTCCTGGGTCTGCAGGCACGCGAGCACAAAGCTGGTTTGTTTTTTTGGAAAAAAAACAAACAAACAAAAAAACAACAATAACACGATTAAGATCTGTGGAAGGCTGAAGATTCATTTCAGAGCATCCAGTTTTTAAGGTCTTCTTTACCCATCCAGAGACGTTGGGGCATCTTTTGCCTGGTAGCTGTAAAAGGGAATTAGCATTCCTGTCTTGCCCTTAATTCTTCCAGTCATGAAATCCCTTTAGACGAGGTGGACGAGGGTGAACCTCCGACGGAAATCAATCACATCAACACCTCTAAATCAGGGAGGTGGAAGCCAGTTTGACGGAGAGCTCAGAGGGATGACCTGTCATCTGTGGACCAGGCTCCCTGTCCTTGGTTGGGTTTGCTTCTTCAGAAAAAGGAAAAGTCGTGTTTAAAAATAATTGCCACCACGTGCTTGAGTCTCAGAAGACCCTGGGTGACGATGAGGAGAAAGATCCCCTATACCGTCACAGTTATGCTGCTGGGATTGGGATCTGAGGTCACAGCAGGCTTTCTGGGTTTAAGTCACCAGACGGAAATTGATTAATTACACCGGCATTACCCTCCCCATTTCTCCCTCCCACCCCGACTCCTGGGTTGAACACGAGGACTACACCACTGAGCTACACCCCCAGAATATTTTGTCGGGAGTCCAGACTCCCCAAGGAAAGGTAAAAGAAAAAAAGGTGAGTAAGGGGAGGAGTCAAAAACAGCGGAGGGAGCCTCCTCCAATTGTGTGTGTAGAAAACCACTGGGAAATGTGTGTTCCTGGGACACTCAAATGTGTGGAGCTGTGACACACGGGTGTGCCCTGAGCTCTCACTTGTGACTGATCTTGAGGCACTTCTGCTTAATGTGGTAGCTAAGGCAAAAATGCCAAGTGCCTGGGTAAAGTTTGAGAAGTTGTTTAAATAGATAGGTAGATGATAGATAGATAGATAGATAGATAGATAGATAGATAGATAGATAGATAGATATGGTAGATAGATGGATGGATGGATAGATAGATAGATAGATAGATAGATAGATAGATAGATAGATAGATAGATAGATGATAGATAGATAGATAGATAGATAGATAGATAGATAGATAGATATGGTAGATGGATGGATGGATGGATGGATAGATAGATAGATAGATACATACATACATACATACATACATAAGAGAGAGAGACACACAGAGACACACACACAGAGAGAGAGAGAGAGAGAGAGAGAGAGAGAGAGAGAGAGAGAGAGAGAGAGAGAGAGAGAATCCTGGGATTACAGACATAGACACAATGGTCAGTTCTCGTGAGTATATGTGTATTTTACAGATATTTTCTTTGAGGTGATTACGGACATTTATTTGATGTTTCTAACTGATATCAATGTTTTCAACTTATATTAACTTAAATTCAGAAACTAAAAAGATTCTGGTCCTAGTTAAATCTGCCCGCCCCTTCTATTAATGTCATAGAGTGCACCTTTATGGGTGTAAAATAATTCAAAATTTCATAAAAAATCAGTGAAATTGAAGCAATCTTTTAAAATCTCCTAACTGAAAACGTTCTGTTCCATATGGATTCACTGGGGGATTTGACCAGAATCTCAAAGAAGAACTAACAGCAGACTATCTCAAACTACCCTATCACTTAAGAAAAGGAAGAACATTCCCAGAATCCTTTTGTGAAGTTAGTTACCCCAGCACCAAAACCAGATGAAAGGACAGCAACAAGAGAAAGTTAATTGCAGTCCAACCTCCCTGACCAATGTAGATGCAAAAGTTCTCAACGAAATATTCACAATCTGAACTCAAGAACACATAAAAAGAACATTGACCATGATCAAGTTCGCTCTATTCCAGAGGTTCGGGGAAAGTCAGATACGTATAGATCAATAAATGTTACAAATCATGTAAGTGGACTCAAGATACAGATTCAATGTAATTGTAAAGAAAACTCTTCAAAGAAATAGAAAAATCTGAAAATCAATCCAGAAACACAAAAAATCTGGGTAGATAAAGCAATCATGAGCAAAAAGAATGTCACCATACCCAACTTCAAGTTCTACTAAAAACCATAGCAATAAAAACAGCATTGTACTGGAACAAAAACAGACACGTAAATGGAGAGAGTTGAAGAGAGGACTGAGACATGCGACCACACAACTAAAGTCATCTGAGGTTTTGACACAGATGCCAAGAATATACATTGAAAAAAAATAGCCACCTCAACAAATTGTTCTGGGGGAAATGGATATCTTCGTGCACAACAATGAAACTCCACCCTTCTCTCACACACTGGTCTGAAATCTACTCAAAGTAGATTAAGAACTTCAGTAGAGGACCTGAAGATTTGAAACCACTTTAGGAAAAAGTAAAGAGTACATTTCAACACACAGGTATAAACAAGGACTCTCTAAACAGGACTCAGGTTGCTCAGCAAACAAGACCAATAATCAACAAATGGGACTTCAGGAAATTGCCACTCTTCTATTATGGCAGGGGATGTTGTTGAGTAAAGAAACAACCTAAAGAATGGGAGAGAGAAATGGCTAGTTACCCATCTGTCTTGGTTCGTTTCTGTCAACCTGACACAGCCAGAGTCATGTGGGCGAAAGGAACCTCAACTGAAGAGACTTCCCCACCAGATCGACCTGTGGGCACCTTCTGGATTGATGATGATATGGGAGAATCCAGCTCACTGTGGATAGAGTCACCCTTGGGCAGCTGGGCCTGGGTACTATAAAAAAGCATGCTGAGCAAGCCATGGGGAGCAAACCAATAAGCAGCACCCCTCCATGGCTTCTGCTTCAATTCCTGCCATCAGGTTCCCGCTGGAGTTCCAGCCATGGCTTCCCTCGGTGATAAAGAGTGACCAGAGGGTTATAAGATGAAATAAACCCTTCCCTCTCCAAGTCGCTTTTTGTCATGGTGTTTATCAGAGTGATAGAAACCCTAAGACAGATACTGGCACCAGATTTGTGGGGTATTGCTGTGGGATATTGCCTACCCACGTTTGGGGGATGACTGTGGAAATTTGGAAAATTAATGCTGAAAGAGGTGCAGATGATGGAGGTTGGCTTGTGAAGTTTCCAGAGGGAAGTTTGAGAGTTCCTTAAAGACTCTATTGGGGATATTAGATACTTTAAATTAAGAATCTGCTGTTCCTCCTTGTGAATTATTGGGCAAGGGAATTCCAGAAACTCCCCCCAAAACAATACAGGCTATTACCTTTGCTCTAGGATTGATTGCCCGTCAGAACTCGATGGTAAGATCCCGCTGCAGAAAATATCATACACTTTACAGGACATAGAGAAATCGAGCTGGGACTCAGGTATCTTTCATAGAGCCTGGAGGTGCCATGAAGGCCACTGGGGGAGAAACATCACCAGCGGTCTTACACAGTGGTGGACCTTGCATGCTACAATACAGATCTACCAGGCAAGGTGTGGCCGCTGGTGCAGTACTCGAATGGCTGTTATGTGGGTAACCAACGTCTTTATGGTTGGATTTGAGGCTTGCTCCACAGGAGGGAACCTGGACTGCAAGCCTAGTCAAAACGTCCATGAGTGGGGAATTCATAAGCCCTAGGGAGGAATTTACTATTGTTGTTAAATGGACATGTTGTCAAGATAATTTCTAAATATTTGTGTTTATACCCAGATACACACTGCTCTCAATCTTCGCTGAAGAAAATTCTTTTTGCAGTGGGGGCCATGATTAATACAGAGATGCATCAAAATGATGACAGTGACTGCTGAGCGCTCAGCCCCAAACAGGATCTCTCTCTCTCTTTCCCTCCCTCCCTCCCTCCCTCCCTCCCTCCCTCCCTCACCTCCCTCCTCTCTCTTACAAACACACACACACACACACACACACACACACACACGAATGCACACATGCACGCACG